TCCCTACAGGTTTGCCAGGGGTAAGAATGACTGTGCTACCAGCTCCTTGGCTGTGATGGTAGGAGCTCCAAAACACACATCAGAACAGGAGCTGCTCTTGCTGTGCAATGCTGTTTGGCTTGTTCTGCAGCTGAGTGTGCAGAGTTGTCTTCTCCTCTTCCCACCCCCCCAACTCCATTGCATCTGATCTGTATTTGTTCACAGAGGTTTAGTGCTAGCCTTGTTTCAGTGTGAGCTCCAGGGCCTCCATCAGCGCTGAGAAAAGGGGCCTTTCATTATAATTCAGCTAAAAAGCCTACTGAAATAAGGGATAAGACAGAACCAGTCTTAAGATCATTTAGGTTATTTAGGCTTCACTACAACTCTCTGCTGCTCCACATTCCCAACTACATTTTCCTCCTCATTTAGCCAACAGCAAAATAAAAGCAACAATAATTCCATCAAAACCAAAGCAGTGGAGACTGCAGATAATCCTGCATACACTTCTGGATGTCTATCTATATTATTCAGCATGGAATTTAAATGGTATTTCTAAGTTACCTTCCCTTGCCTTTCTGCATAATGGCATTATGCAGCAGTCTAGTTAGCAAAAAGATTAACAGTGTATTAAAGAATTGACCCAGTCACAAGGGCACTGCAGTTAAATAAGGAGCTTAAACTTTTGCTAATAGCTCCATCAGGCTTACAAAACAACTTACCCCTCACATTTTTTTCCCAGATACACCAAGTCCAAGTGCTTTGAATTAACCATCCTCAACTTGTTTTTGGGCTAGGGAGTATCCAATTCTCCTGCCTCTACCTCTATGTGGCCTGTGTGCGAACCCCACCAGCCTTTAAATAACAAGCGATCCACCGCAAGCAGAGGGAAGAAACTCCAGTGGCTATAATGCATTCTGCAAGTGTGTCCTTGTGAGCCATGCTTTTATTCCTTCTTATGTCCCTCAGGTTGGACTGCATCAGTGCATTAAGACTAATCCTACCGTACATCATGCCTCTGTTCTTCCCTTACCCTCAGAGATGTTCTTGAAAGCTTGGAGCTGCTACAAATCATCACTTGATTTATCCACTGTCATGAACGGCAAGACTTGAAAAAAATCTTTTGAAGCAAGCAAAACCTGTGTCAAACAGGAATTCTGACAGTATTCCCCAGAGCAGCATGAGGAACGTGCCCTGTCAGCACAGCTAGGGCCAGCTGGTCCTGCTGGAGCTCTTCAGCTGTATTTTTCCCCCAATGCAATATTAGATGTATCAGACTTAAAATTTCTCTGTCAGCACCACCGAGAGCAAGCATGCCTCATTCTGTCCTGGATCTGGGCAACTTTGTCAGCCTCGGTTCAGTGTCAGAGCAGAGCTCCTGCACAGCCCAGCTCCTCAGCTCCACGCCTCGTGCTGCCCCGGAGCCCCAGCAAAGCCCCGCAGGAGGGGTGGCCGCTGCCACTGCTTCCCGCTCCTCACTCCAGACTGCTGCACCCGGGGGACAACCAGCAGGTGTCTTTTAGTTATCTCGGATCCCTTAGAGAGAGAAAAGCTTTCTCCTAGTAACAGCGGCCAAGGCCAAGGGTTGCAGTCAACGTGACAGGTAAGAGCTGCTTCAGGCAAAGGTCAGCTGCTGACTGACAGCACAGCAAACTCCGCCAGCGTTCCTGTACCTGCACACCAGCGTGTGCCGAGAGCCGCAGCCGAAAGGGTGACTCTGCTTTTGGAGCCAAAACTTAAACACTGCGTTTGACAGAAACCACCTCACTGGTCATAGTTTAAGCTTCGCATTTCTGCAGGACTAGGCTCTTCTCTGAACTGATCAAGCTAAAAATATTCAACGTCACCTCAGCAAGTTCAGCAATATCCTCAGCCACACTTCTAACTCTCCCAACACGAAATGCTCTGCCCTGGCTTGTGCTGCCCTCAGCAGTCAGAGCTCCAGTTTGGCAGAAAAAAAGATGTGCTGCATTCACAAACAGCATGGCCATCAGTCAGCGTTATTTAAGACTCAATCTCAAACTCCCCTGTTTCCTCCTTTTCCTGTATTGTTAATACAGGAGGTTTTCTGACCTGAAAGTATTCTTTTTATACAGGTCCTGCCTTAATGTCCCACCTTAAAAGAGACTGTATTTGAGTGCTCTGCAGTAGCAGCTGTCAGCTCCTCTGGAACTTGTCTAGGGACTAATTCAATACAAGAGGAGAAATGCTCCTTTTCCCCCAAAGCTGCCAGGCAGGTAACCCAGCTGTTCCTGCAATAGCTGTCAAAGAACAAGCTCATCCAAGTTCTCCTGCCTTGTCAAAACCAGTGACATTACAGCCGCCATTAATAGGCTCAGCCGCCTGCAAACAGCAACGGGTGCAATCCTCCCCTTGCCTCATGGAACCAACACAAGAAGCGATTTACGAGGATCTACAGAGACTCTCACCCAAGGCTTCACTGACAGTCAGAGCTACACTCCTGCAGTGCCATGGAAACATTTAAACCCAAGTTTTCTAAATTCTAGAAAGGTCCAACTCCTAGAATAAAAAAAAGAGAGATAAAGATACACTGAAGGTCTTAAAGAGTGTTAACAAACAGAAAAACTTTAAAGGGAACAGAACCTACAATGTGTTCAGCAAAGGCAGAACAACAAACCTGACTGAAAAACAAGTGTCAGACAGCAGTGCCAAGAAATAATAACTCTCGCACTCTGTTCTTCGAGGAGCTATTTCAGCTTCCAGGTCAGACACTTCAGCATCTCACCCCCTCTCAGGCAGCCCGACTTCTAAAAAAAACTAACCCTGTCCTGGCCATGCCCTCACTCATCTCCGTGGCAGCAGAAGCCCGTTTTCCCCATTACACCTACAAACACTTACTGGAAAGCCATGGCTCCTGCTTCCAGAGTACACCTCGTGGGGGACTGCTCGTTCAGCTTGCGGAAGAGCTGCTTTGCTTGACTCTGGTAGTGCTGCAGATCGCGGCCTGACTGAGAAGGGAAAACAGGCCGTTAGTGGTGGCTGCTACCGGAGAAACACCGCCCGCGAGCA